AATAAAAACCACATGATCATATCAATAGATGCTGAAAAAGCATTCGACAAAATCCAGCATCCATTTCTGAAAAAACGCTCAGCAATGTAGGAATAGAGGGATCATATCTCGACATAATAAAGGCCATATATGAAAGACCTACAGCCAACATCATACTCAGTGGACAGAAACTAAAAACATTTCCATTAAGAACAGGAACAAGACAGGGATGTCCACTTTCATCACTCTTATTTAACATTGTACTGGAAGTCTTAGCCACAGCTATCAGACATGAAGAAAAAATAACAGGCATCCAAATTGGAAAGGAGGAAGTGAAACTGTCATTATTTGCAGATGACATGATATTGTACATAGAAAACCCTAAAGACTCCATCAAAAATCTATTAGACTTAATAAATGAATTTGGCAAAGTAGCAGGATACAAAATTAACGTCAAGAAATCGACGGCATTCTTGTACATCAATGATGAACTCACAGAAAGAGAAACTGAAAAAACAATCCCATTTACCATTGCGGCAAAAAAATTATGATACCTAGGAATAAACTTAACCAAAGAAGTAAAGGACCTATTTGCAGAAAACTACAGGTCATTGAAAAAAGAAATAGAGGAAGATATAAAAAAGTGGAAGCACATACCCTGTTCATGGATTGGAAGAATTAACATAATTAAAATGTCCATACTACCCAAAGCAATCTATAGATTCAATGCAATCCCCATCAAAATACCAACGACATATTTCATAGAACTAGAACAAATACTTCAAAAGTTCATATGGAACCAAAAAAGACCCCGAATAGCCACAGCAATCTTGAAAAAGAAGGACAAAGTAGGTGGGATCACAATACCAGATATCAGGTTATACTACAAATCAACTGTAACCAAAACAGCCTGGTACTGGCACAAGAACAGGCATATAGACCAGTGGAACAGAACTGAAAACCCAGAAATGGACCCAAGGCAATACGCTCAATTAATATTTGACAAAGGTGGCAAGAGCATATAGTGGAGTAAAGACAGCCTCTTTAATAAATGGTGTTGGGAAAATTGGACAGCTACATGCAAAAAAATGAAACTAGACCATCAACTTACACCATACACAAAAATAAACTCGAAATGGATAAAAGACTTAAATGTGACCCGTGAATCCATAAAAATTCTAGAAGAAAATGTAGGCAACAAAATTTCGGACATCATACGGAGCAGAATTTTCACTGATACATCACCTAAGGCAACAGAAATAAAGGAGAAAATGAACACATGGGACTACATCAAACTAAAAAGCTTCTGCACAGTAAAAGAAACAATCATCAAAATGGAAAGGCAACCCACTGTATGGGAGAACATCATTGCCAATGATGTATCAGATAAGGGGTTAATTTCCAATATATATAGAGTGCTCATACAACTCCACAAAAGGAAGACAAAGAACCCAATTAAAAAATGGGCAGAGGAGCTGAATAGACACCTGTCCAAACAGGACATGCAAATGGCCAAGAGACATATGAAGAAATGCTCAACATCATTAATCATCAGAGAGATGCAAATTAAAACAACAATGAGGTATCACCTCACACCTGTCAGAATGGCCGCCATCAACACATCATCAAACAACATGTGTTGGCGAGGGTGTGGAGAAAAGGGGACTCTAGTACACTGCTGGTGGGAATGCAGACTGGTGCAGCCTCTATGGAAAACAATATGGTGCTACCTCAAAAAATTAAAAATTGAACTTCCATTTGACCCAGTGATCCCACTGCTGGGAATATACCCTAAGAAGCCTGAAACACCAATCAGGAAGAATATATGTACCCCCATGTTCATAGCAGCACTATTTACAATAGCTAAGATCTGGAAACAGCCCAAGTGTCCACCAGTAGACGAATGGATAAAAAAGCTGTGGTACATATACACAATGAAGTACTATGCAGCGGTAAGAAAGAAAGATCTTTTATCTTTTGAGAGGACATGGAGGGACCTGGAAAGTATTATCCTAAGTGAAAGAAGCCAAGCAGAAAAAGACAAATACCACATGATCTCACTTATATACGGAATATAATGAACATAACAGTCTGAGGAATACAGTAGACCCAGACACATGGAAGTAGGGCACAGACTGACATCCCTCAGAATAGGGGATAGGGGTGGGGGGGTGGGAAGAGATAAACCACAGAACTTATATGCATGTGTGCATGACCAATGGACATGGACAACTAAGCCGGGGACAGGGTGGAGGGGGGGCGGGGTGGGGGGTGCCAATGGGGTAAAAACGTAAAATATCTGTAACAAAAAAATAAATAAAAATTTATAAAAAAATAAATAAATATATAAAAGCATTTTTCTTAAGAACAGGAACAAGACAGGAATGGCTGCTTTTGCCATTGTTGTTCAACATAGTACTGGAAGTCTTAGCCACAGTAATCAGACAGAAAATAAAAGAAGGGCTCCCAAATTGGAAAGCAGAAAGTGAAACTGTCATTCTCAGATGACATAATATTGTACATAGAAAACCCTAAGGGCTCCACCAAAAATCTACTAAATTTAATAAATTAATTTGGCAAAGTATCAGGATACAAAATTAACATCCAGAAATCAATTGCATTTTTATTCACCAATAATGAGCACTCAGAAAGAGAAACTAAACAATCCCATTTATCATTGCAAAAATAAAATTGAGATATTTAGGAATAAACTTAACCAAGAAGGTAGAAGACTAGTTCTTGGAAAACTACAGGATATTGAAAAAAAATAAAAAATAGAGGAAGACATTAAAAAAATATGAAAGCATATACCATATTCATGGATTGGAAGATTCAACATCATTAAAATGTGCAGTACACCCAAATCAATATAGACTCAATGCAATCCCTATTAAAATACCAACAGCATACTTCACAGAACTAGAACAAAAACTCCAAAGTTTATATGGACCCAAAAAAGACCCTGAAAAACCACAGCAATCTTGAAAAAAAAAGTACAAAGTTGAAGAGATCACAATACTGAATATCAAGTTATACTACAAAGCCACTGTAATCAAAACAGCCTGGTACCAGCACGGAACAGGCATATAGATCAATAAAACAGAAAAGAAAACCCAGGAATTGACACATGACAGTATACTCAATTAATATTTGACAAAGGAGGCAAGAGGATAAAATAAAGACAGTCTCTTCTATAAATGATTTTGAGAAAATCAGACAGGTAGATGTAAAAAAAGTAAAACTAGACCACCAACTTACACCATACACAGAAATAAACTCAAAATGGATAAAAGACTTAAATATAAGTTGTGAAACCATGAAAATCCTAGAAGAAAATGTAGGTGGCAAAGTTACAGACATTACGTGAAGCATAATTTTCACCCATACATCACCTAAGGCAAGAGAAACAAAGGAAAAACTTAATTAATAGGACTACATTTAACTAAAAAGCTTTTGCACAGCAAAAAACAAACAAACAAACAAACAAAAAAACCCAGCATCAAAATGAAAAGGGAACCCACTGTTGGGTTGCCAGTGATATATCTGATAAGGGTTTAATTTCCAAAATATATAAAATACGCATACAACTCAACAAAAGGAAGACAATCAATCCAATTAAAAAATGGGCAGAGGACCTGAATAGATACTTCTCCAAAGAGGACACACAAATGGCCAAGAGACATACAAGAAAATGTTCAATGTCACTAATAAAACGAGGTGTCACCTCACCTGCCAGAACGGCTGCTGTCAACAAATCATGAAACAAGTGCTGGTGAAGATGTGGAGAAAAGGGTACTGTAGTACACTACTGGTGGGAATGCAGACTGGTGCAGCCGCTATGGAAAACAATATGGTGTTTCCTCAAAAAATTAAAAATGCAACTGCCTTTTGACCCAGTTATCCCACTTCTAGGAATACATACTAAGAATCCCGAAACACCAGTCAAAAGATTATATGCACCCTTATGTTCATAGCAGCACTATTTACAATAGCGAAGATCTGGTAACAGCCCAAGTATCCATCAGTAGGAGAGTGGATTAAAAAAGCTGTGATACATTTACACAATGGAATACTATGCAGCTTTAAGATAGAAAGACCTCTTACCCTGTGAGAGGACATGGACAGACCTGGAGAGTATGACGCTAAGCAAAATAAGTTAGTCAGAGAAAGACAAGTTTAACACGATCTCACTTAGTTGTGTAATATAATGAACAAAATATGCTGATGAACAAAATAGACCCAGAGACATGGAAGTAGGGAACAGACTGACGTCCGAGGCAAGGGGGCTGGGAGAAAAGGGAAGAGATAAACCAAAGAACTGATATGTATATATGTATAACCAATGAACACAGACAACGGTATGGTGAAGGTGGGGTGGGGGGACGGGAGCAGGGAGAAGGGTGTCAATGAGGCATAAAAGGAGAGACATCTGTAATATTTTCAACAATAAAGACACATTTTAAAAATAGTAATCAGTCGACTGAAAGAAAAAATAAACAAAAAATAGTTTTTGTGTTCTGAATGATGTGTCTTGTGGAACCTAACTACTCTATACCTTTCCCTATTTCAGACTGCCGTAAGTTTATTCTCAGTGCTCAAACTAGAAAAAACAAACAAACGTGAGGATAAACATGCCTGACTGACAAAGTCCTTAACCCAGAGCTTAATAGAGGGGAGGGCTCTTCCTGGGCTTGATTTTGCAGGTCAGCCACTGCTCCAAGTCTGGAGTTGGAAGAAAACTCTGCTCACTTTCTACTTCCTACCTCTCATTTATAGTGTTACACATGGGGACTCCTGGGCCCAGGAAGAACTGGAGTTTAACACTTGGATGAAACCAGGAAAGAGTCCTCCCCCCTAGCCTATATTCTTAAAAGGGTCCTTATAGAGGCAGAAACCCCTGGACCCTCCGAGCAGACTTCCAGGGTTGCTAAAGGGCTCTCTCAGGAAGGTAGCTGGCACAGGGAATTCATAACGATAGTTCTTCATCACTCATTAGTTCAACACAAGAATAAAAACTATAATGCTCAGGTAGGGTAATCCTTACCTGTTCCTCTTATTGGAAGGCAGATTGGAACACGATGATTTGAGATCGCATGATTCGTGATTAACGTCTCTGTGTAATCAGGACATGCAACACCCTGATTGCTCCTATCTGATTCTTCCTGATGTTTAAAATAATAATAATAATAAAAACTACCAGTTCAAGTTGAGATTAAACATCTACCAGGGCAATTATTTTCTCCAGAAAAAAACAATAATTGATGTAGGAGCTCTAGGGCTTCAGACATGTGGACTGAGATCGAGGAAGCAAGGGCTGAATAATGGCCTAACAATGAAAAACTCGTACTAATGCTAAGTGGCAGAGACGATGGGAAAATCAGAGCAGAGTCTGAGACCCCTCATATACTAATGAATCTTCTGTCTTTGTTAACAGAGAAACAGGTTACTTAGATGGACTGAGAATGAATCTTTTAGTAGAGCTGAGTGCCACAGGCCAGCAAAGGTAAAATCAGGAAAATGATGAACTCTAACGCTTTCTGAATCTATTTAGTCTTTAATTGTGACTTCCATTTATTCCCCCTTGTATGCCTTCCTCTCCATCTATTTTAGACTGTTACTAATTAATTAATTCATCTCTCTACCTATCCTGTGTTAGTCCTTCATCTAAAATGTTCTCCTCTTCCCCTCACTTAGGCATGAACACTAGATTCATCACTTTTGTTGTGATCTCAGACTCATCTGAAGCTTAGTTTTCTCACATATATGTTTACACACCCATTTTTGTGGGTGCTCAAATAGTATTACTGATATTAAAGTTAATTTATTGGCAGTAAGTATATAGATATCAAATTAAATTTCTAATCATTGTTCTGAATGGACTGAAGATTGGTCAATTTTAAGTGTCATTTCACTTTATCTTAATAAATAAGGGCTAGAAAGCCCCCTACCGGTGCAGTCTCTGTTTTGGGTAAGTTCCTAGAACCTCAGGCCTCTATTTGAAAAATAGAGGATAATTGTATGTATCCTGTCCTGCGTGTCTCATTGGGGAGGCACTATTGACATGTGAGTGCTTGGTGAGTTCAAGAGCTGGACCTATGTACAGGGCCGGTAGGAATCCCTTCCATGGGGAAGGAGCACAGGCGGCATGGGTACCTCTCCTCAGAGGTTCAACAGCACAAGATGATCCTGGCAATGTTTCAGCAGTGTGTCCAAAACAACTCTTAAATCTCCATGCCCCTCCTTCTCAGATCTCAGGCAATGGTATTTATCTTCTATATGCTTAGCCAATCCAGGCTTTTGCTTTTGCTTTCTTTGAGAAAGTACTAGAGCCTTGGACCCACTGCTGAATTATTACTGCCACACATAGTGTGTTTGACAGGTCTGGTTGCCTAGATATTCCACAGGGAAACCGGAGGACTAGATCTATCCAGTTAAGAAAGTCCTTCCACAAAACTTTTCTTCTAAGTGACTCATGGGAACAGAGCAAAGCACTAATAAGTTTGCTAATGAGAAAGTAAACAAATTGCCTAAAGTGAGCTGGGAAGCCAGAGGTTGAGGCAAGGGAACTGTTCTCAGGAGGGGCCTGTGCTCCTTTAATGAAGCACACCCTCAACTTCAGTAATTGTCAGCATTTTCTCTGCAGAGACCAGATGCCAGCTGAGGTGTGGAGCAGGGAGCTTTGAAGGGGTCCCAGTTTTCTCCTTTTGCCTTTCTCAATTAATACTAATTAAGAACATGTGAATACAGACAGGAAGAAAGCAGCTCTAGAATGCAGTGCTTTTGGGAGTCCTTTTAACAGGCCTAGTGAGGAGATACCAACCTCCCAGGTTTTCCTGACCATACAGAAGACCATCTGTTTTCTTTTTCTTTTTTGAAATGATATTTCATTTAAAATTTTTTTTAATTAATTAATTTATTTTTGTTACAGATGTTTCTCCTTTTCCCCCCATGGATTCCCTCCTCCCCCTCCCTCCCCGCACTGTACCCAGCTTTGTTGTCCATGTCCATTGGTCATACACACATGGCTTATCTCTCCCCCAGAACCCCTCTCCTGAGGATTGTCAATCTGTACTCCATTTCCATGTCTCTGGTATTACCCCAATCCTCAAACTGTTATGTTTATTATATTCCACAAGTAAGTGAGATCATATGATACTTGTCTTTCTCTGTTTGGCTTGTTTCACTTAGGATAATACTTTCTAGGTACCTCCAGGTCATCTCAAAGGATAAGAGATCTTTCTTTCTTACAGCTGCATAGTACTCCATTGTGCATATGTACCACAGGTTTTTTATCCATTCATCTATTGATGGACATTTGGGCTGTTTCCAGATCTTAGCTATTGTAAATAGTGCTGCTACAAACATGGGGGTACATATATTCTTTCTGATTGGTGTTTCAAGCTTCTTAGGGTATATTCCTACAAGTGGGATCACTGGGTCAAATGGCAGTTCAATTTTTAATTTTCTGAGGAAACATCATATTGTTTTTCATAGTGGCTGCACCAGTCTGCATTCCCACCAGCAGTGTACTAGAGTCCCCTTTTCTCCACACCCTTGTCAACACTTGTTGTTTGATGATTTGTTGTTGGCGGCCATTCTGACAGGTGTGAGGTGATACCTCATTGTTGTTTCAATTTTCATCTCTCTGATTAGTGATGTTGAGCATTTCTTCATATGTCTCTTAGCCATTTGTATGTCCTGTTTGGACAGGTGTCTATTTAGTTCCTCTGCCCATTTTTTAATTGGGTTCTTTGTCTTCCTTTTGTTGAGTTGTATGAGCACTTTCTATATATTAGAAATTAAGCCCTTCTCTGATATACCATTGGCAATTATGCTCTCCCATATAGTGGGTTGCCTTTCTATTTTGATGATTGTATCTTTTCTGTGCAGAAGCTTTTTAGTTTGATGTAGTCCCATGTGTTTATTTTGTCCTTTGTTTCTGTTGCCTTAGGTAATGTATCAGTGAAAATTCTGCAGCATATGATGTCTGAAATTTTGTTGCCTACATTTTCTTCTAGAATTTTTATGGATTCACGGGTCACATTTAAGTCTTTTATCCATTTCGAGTTTATTTTTGTGTATGGTGTAAGTTGATGGTCTAGTTTCATTTTTTTGCATGTAGCTGTCCAATTGTTTCAACACCATTTATTAAAGAGGCTGTCTTTACTCCACTGTACACTCTTGCCACCTTTGTCAAATATTAATTGAGCATATTGCCTTGGGTCCATTTCTGACTTCTCTGTTCTGTCCCACTGGTCTATATACCTATTCCTGTGCCAGTACCAGGGTGTTATGATTACAGTGGCATTGTGGTATAACCTAAAATCTGGTAATGTGATCCCTCCTACTTTATTCTTCTTTTTTAAGGTGGCTGTGGCTATTTGAGGTCTTTTTCAGTTCCATATGAACACTTGAAGTATTTGTTCTAGTTCTGTGAAGTATGTCATTGGTATTTTGATGGGGATTACATTGAATCAATAGATTGCTTTGGGTAATATGGACATTTGAATGATGTTGATTCTTCCAATCCATAAACAAGGTATATGCTTCCACTTTATTATATCTCCCTCTATTTCTTTCTTAAATGACCTGTAGTTTTTTGAGAATAGGTCTTTTATTTCTTTGGTTAAGTTTATTCCTAGGTATCTTAATTTTTTTTTGCTGCGATGATAAAATTCTTTTTAGTTTCTGTTTCTGTGACTTCATCATTGGTGTATAAGAATGCCATCAATTTCTTGACATTAATTTTGTATCCTGCTACTTTGCCAAATTCATTTATTATGTCTAGGAAATTTTTGATGGAGTCTTTGGGGTTTTCTACATATAGTATCATGTCATCTGCAAATAATGACAGTTTGACTTCCTCCTTTTCAATTTGGATCCCTTTTATTTACTCTTCATGTCTGATTGCAGTGGCTAAGACTTCCAGTACTATGTTAAATAAGAGTAGTGAAAGTAGGCATTCTTGTCTTGTTCCTGTTCTTAAGGAAAATGCTTTTAATTTTTGCCCATTAAGTATAATGTTGGCTGTAGGTCTTTCATATATGGCCTTTATTATGTCGAGATATGATTCTTCTATTCTCACATTGCTTAGCATTTTTATCAGAAATGGGTGCTGGATTTTGTTGAATGCTTTTTCAGCATCTATTGATATGATCATATGATTTTTATCTTTCATTTTGTTTATGTGGTGTATCACATTTATTGATTTGCAAATATTGTACCAGCCTTGCCTCCCTGGGATGAATCCCACTTGTTCATGGTGAATAATTTTTTGGATGTATTGCTGGATTTGATTTGCTAGTATTTTGTTCAGGATTTTGGCATCTATGTTCATCAGAGATATTGGCCTGTAGTTTTCTTTCTTTGTAGTGTCTTTTTCTGGTTTTGGAATTAGAATTATGCCGTCCTCATAAAACAAGTTTAGAAGGCTTCCTTCTTCTTGAATTTTTTGAAATAGTTTGAGGGGAATGGGTATTAGTTCTTTTTTGAATGTTTGGTAAAACTCCTCCATGAAGCCATCCAGGCCTGGGCTTTTGTTTGCTGGGAGAGTCTTAATTACATCTTTAATTTCCATAGTTGTTATTGGTCTGTTCAACCTTTCTATCTCTTCCCAGTTCAGTTTTGGAAGACTATGTGTTTCTAGAAATTTGTTCATTTCACTTAGATTGTTGAATTTGCTGCCGTATAATTGTTCATAATATCTGTTAACAATACTTTGTATTTCTGTGGTGTCAGTTATTATTTCTCCTCTTTCATTTCTGATTTTGTGTATTTGGGTTCTCCTTCTTTGTTTCTTGGTGAGTCTTTCTGAGGGTCCATCAATCTTGTTTTTCTTTTCAAAGAACCAGCTCTTTGTTTCATTGATCCTTTGAATTGTTTTTTTGGTCTCCATGTCATTTATTTCTGCTCTGATCTTTACTATTTCCTTCCTTCTACTTGCTCTGGGCTTTTCTTTCTGTTTGCTTTCTAGTTCTTTAAGTTGTGAGGTTAGATAGTCTATTAGAAATTTTTCTTGTTTCTTGAAGTAGGCCTGCAGTGCTATGAACTTCACTCTCCGAACTTCTTTTGCTACATACCATTGTGCTGTTGTGTGTTCATTTTCATTGGTTTCCAGGAAGTTTCTAATTTCTTCCTTGATCCCCATGGTAACCCAT